TACCTCCCAGACCAGGGATGTTTCAGGCGTCGGGTAGGTAGTTTTTTACTACCTTTAGCCCTGCAGCGGGGAAGCAGCAGCTCTCCCCTGTCAGGTGGAAGCATTTGGGCTCAGGACCAGCTCACCATCGTTGGCTAGAGAGTAGCGAGAAGGACGGACACGTCCGCACCCCTCCTCTTCTTGTCCTGACCCAGAAGTGATGTTATGATGTCACCTCCAGGTCCCCGTTAAGAGATTTCCGGCCATGGAAGACGGGAAAGAATGTGCGGTGCGATGTGCACCGCATTACATTCAGGGGAGCACAGGGGAGACATAGGGTCTTTTAGACCTCCATAGAAAGAACCTGTCACCATAAAATCATCACACAGGGGACTTTGTCCCTATGTGATAACAAAAAGTAAAAAAAAAAAAAAGATTTTTTTTTTAATTGTAAAAAATGAAAGTCACGCCAAAGCACATACCATCCCCTCCCAAAAAAAATGGAGGCCCCCCCCCCCCCCCACATATATACACGTACAAAAAAGCACACGCTGGGGCACCGATGCATGAAAACATCGATTGCTATACACATGTCACATGTCGCCGCGCACGCCAGAATGAGAGCAATAATTCTAGCACCAGACCTACTCTGTAAAGCTAAACTGATAACCTATAAGGATATTTTAAAGTGTTGACCTATAGGGTACTGAAGTTAAAGTGCCATTTCATGAGCATGCACAAATTTAAGGTTTGACAAGTTGGATATCTATTTACTCATCTTTCATATTTTACAAAAAAATAGGGTAATTGATTGCTTACTTGTATATTTACTGAAATTTTGCAGTAATATCATGCGACATAAATAATTGGAACTACCACTATTTCATTCTCTAGGGTCTCTGCTTTCAGAAAATATATAATGTTAGGGGATTATATGTAATCTTCAACCCTAAAATTATTTTTTAAACTTGTGCAAAACATGCAAAAACAGCTCTGGCAGCGATAGGGATAAAGGATAAGCCAGACACGTCCTTTTCCTGAGGAGCAGCCATTACACTGCAAGGTCTCTCCCCTCCTTGCTAGTCCCCGGGTGCGGTGCTGAAGAGAGGCAGGGAGGTGAGGAGGAGAGATAAACAGCACAATGGTAAAAATATTAAACGTTTTAATCACCATAAAGCCCCTTTTGTTTTTAAAAACCCCAGACATTCCTAATATCACCTCCAATTTAAATACAGTTTTGGTTACATTTTTTTTTATCTGGACAAGTAGATTGTCATGAGGGACAAGTAGATTAGGGCACCGATTTAGTCCCTGGACAAGTAGTTTTTTCAAAAATTTCCACACCCCTGCAGATAGGGGGGATTCAACAACTGTGTCAGTGTACCCAAAGCACAATGAGATCTGCCCTTCTCTCAGCCAAGGACTGCATGGTCCTGATTGGGATGTTTACCGCCACAATTCCAGTAGTTCCATGAGCCAGGTGGCATATGAGGGCGTTACAGGTTCTTGAGCCAATGGGATGGCTTATCCAAAAACCAGAAAATGTACATCCCAGAGGGAATACGTCGAGATTTAGGTTGGTGGACCGTGCCAGAGAATCTCTTCCGGGGGGTACCCCTCAATCCAGAGAACTGGACTATGTCACTTCAGATGCCAGTCTTTGGGGTTGGGGGGCCCACTGTCAGGGGAAAAAAATCCAAGACTATCGGAACCCACTAAAGCACAGGCAATCAAACTATTTGAAACTTAAGGCAGCCTTTCTGGCTTTACAGGCTTTTCAGGAAGATCTCCAGGGAGCCCGAGTCAAGATGCTACTGGACAACAGGACTTACCTCGCCCGCCAAGGGGGGAATCTAACATGCTTTCACCTTTTGGAAGACATCTTTGCAGAGAAGCACCTTCAGATCTGACAGCAGCATATTTACCAGGAAGCCAGGATCAACTGGCAGATCAGCTGAGCAGACACTTCCCCGAACACAGCAAGTGGTCACTCCAACCAAAGAACCGGAAAAAATCTTCAGGAAGTGGGGCACTCCCACAGTCAACTTAATGGCAACTCCTCAAAACGCTCAGATTCTGTTTTGGCCAGATGCAGATGCGCATGAGCCCTAGCGAAGAATGCCTTTTGATTTGCTGAGTTTTTCCAATGGTGTACATCTTTCCACCAGTCCCACTGCTAATGAAGGTTCTATTGAAAATCAGAACAGAATGGGTCCATTACAGTGTTGGTGGGTCTCCAGTGGCCAAGGAGGTCTTGGTTTCCTTTGATCATACAGATATTGTCAGCCCCTCCAATCCTGTTTCTGGCCAAGAAGGATCTTTTGACCAGAACCAGTTTGTCGACACTCCAACCCGAGGAGACTGAGACTGAGACTAGCGGCATGGCTGCTGAATCAGCCCAATTAAGGGCTCAGGGACTCTCCTCCCAGATGGTACAGACATTAATGAAGACCAGAAAGGCCTCAACCAATCTCATGTATGAACGTATTTGGAGGTATTTGGAAAGTTTGCTCAACACAAACAACTTTCTCTGAGTCTCCTTCTCTGCCCAAAATGGACTTCCTTCAATCGGCCTTGGATAAGGGGTTAGCATATAACTCGATCAGAGTACAGTCATCTCTCACTGGACATAGGCTGAAGATCCTCTAATTAGGTGTTTTGCAGGCGACAATTTGCATTAAACCACCAAAGAGATGCTTTTTTACCTTCCGGGTTCTCAGCCTGGTCCTCAGGTTACCCATGCAGGACTCCGAGAACCGGGGGCTTCAGCACACTGGATCTGGTGAGCTTACTATCCATATATTTTGAAGAGATATGCTCCTATCGGGAAGGTGGATAACCTTTTTATCCTCCCAGTGGGTGGTTTTAAAGGGGTGAGGCTGTGACTTCAAGAATGATCTCTACCTGGTTATCAAGGATCATCACTGTAGCCTACAAGAACCAAGGTCTGGCTCCTCCAAAAGTTATACTTGATAATTTGACAAAAGGCATGGCAGCCTCCTGGGCAGCATACGCTAAGGTTTGGCTAGAGGACATCTGTAGAAACGGATATGGATATTCAGGCTACAGCATTCGCAAAATTCAAAACAGCGGTGGTCTTGGCAGCCTTACAAGAAAAATAAAAATTTTTTGTTTTTCCTTATTATGCAGCATACCTTGGCTGGGTGTCTTTTTTTCCCGCCCATTTTTTCTTATTGCTAGTTAATTCCCCATGGTGTGCTGACATGAGGTGAGCCAGGAAAACGGAAAATTGTTGTTCCCATACTTACTATAATTTTCCTTTCCTGGCATATCCTCACGTCAGCACAACTCTTCCCATCCTGGTGGCCTGTCACTTTCTAGTTCAAGAACCCCTGGGGATCAGGAGGCAGGGTCTTTTATTCTAGCTATTGGAGGTAGTCCTGTGGGGTTACTTACAAAGGATTAACCCATGGTGTGCTGACAAGAGGAAATGCCAGGAAAGGAAAATTACAGTATGTAGGGGAGAAACAATTTTCTGTAATGTGGCACCAAGAAAGGTGGGCTTCAATGCCCAGCCACCACCCACCCACGCATATACATTCACAGCAGCCTGAGGTTGTGAGCTGAGAGTGTGCTCACTGCAAGCTGTCACGCTCTTTCACAAACGCTCTGGGTCAAGGCTTTTGATTAGGAACCAGTGTGATAGGCTCCCAATCATGTGAATCCTGTGAGAATCAATCACAGTGGACACATGATGCAGAAGCCACACATTAAAGCCCACTCAAAGTTTCTTACTGTCCTATCCACCAATGTACACTGAGTTGTGCATGCGCAGCTCAGTGTAAAATTTTGGCAATGCTGAGATGACTGAACTCCTGTGCATGTGCGGTAGTGACATCATCACAGTCAGACTAATTCAAACGATCAGAGATCGGCACCGCCCAACCAAAAATATCAGCAACCAGTGGGGAACTCCAGGACACCGCAGTGCTAGTGAAGGTAGGTGTAGTTCCACTGTAAAGGGCTGCGGGGAGGCAGTGTTAAGTAGTTAGACACTACAACGCAGGAAGCCGAGTTTGCATATGAAATGAGAGAATAGCCTTATGCACATATATAATTATGAACTATACACACAAACAAGGTTTGAAATTGGAAGCCAAGTTGATAAGATTTTAACAGCATATTGAACACTTTCACATGTACAGTATATCATACAAAATGTAGAGTACAGTTTCCCTTTAAAAATGCTCATGTGAATAAGCAGTCCTACAATGAACCCAACTTCAAGACAACAAAGAGAACAACCTGCAGTACTTGCTGAAGGTTCCCTACAAGCATCAGCAGTTGGTATCACAGACGCATCCTATTTTATTCCCTCTACTGAAATGAAACTACCAAAGATTACACTTGCAGATAAACAACCCTCTCCTTAATAGAGATGCAGATAAAAGTGATGTGGCACATAATAAAGCTCTGCAATACAATGCAAGCGGAACATGAATTGAAACCTTTTTTACCGTGTTCTGATTCCAGGAGTTAATTAGAGCTAACCTCTCACAAACTATTTCTGCTGCTGAGCTGATGCTGACATATCTCTTGTATCTGAAATGATGATAATTGATTAGGTGCACAGGATGTCGGTGAGAAAGCGGCTAGAATTCAGCATGCATACATTACTTGTGTGTCACCGAAGATATCTTTCCCGCCGAGTCGATGGGAAGTGTTTAAGTGTCAATGCTCCTTTTAACTTTCTCATAACATTAATTACTGATTTGCCTGGGATAATGACTGATGGAAGCTCATTGCTTTGCATTTGGTGTGGAAAGCTTTCTGAATAAGGCATGAGTTCACTCTCATTGAAACCTTTGTAGCTTTACATATGGTCATCATTTACCTTATTTTGTCTGCTTAAAAGAAATGCAAATGTCTGCTTTGAGAGTACATTTGTACTCAGGTGGAAATTTACCAATTTCTCCCAGTGCATACTGCTGTTTTTAACCTTAGAAAGGAGATTTTCCTCTACCACAGTTTGGTAATGGTCAGGGGCGGACTGACAACTCATGGAGTCCCCGGGCAATAGGGGATCATGGGGCCCCTGTGTCCTTGCCCAAACTCAAAAAAGCCTATGAAAAAGGTACCAGGGGCATCTCATGGGTCCCCCTACTGACCCCGGGCCCTCGGGCAGTGCCCGAGTTTCCAAATGGTCAGTCCGCCACCTGGTAATGATATATAGAATTTGGTGTGAATTGAAATTTCTGCTTCTTCTCTCTAGAATGTACTCTCCACACACCCTTTAAAGCATCCATCAGGGGACTAGTGACTATTATGGTCTTCATAAATTTACCAAAGCAATCCACCTCAAAGAAGCAGAGTCTCGGATATCACAGTCAGACTAGTGGTAGAGGAAGGCCTCACTGCCAGGATCCCAAATACCAGTAAATATCCCTGCCTCACAATGCACAAAACATATATATAAAATGGATATTAAAGTAAATAAATTGAAGTAAAGAGTAATGAATTGTGAACTATAAAGGCAAAGAAGATTTACAGCCCAACTCTCAGAATCTATTGAAGGAGCAAATAAACTTTCCTTTCCAATACAGCTCCACTCAAAAAAAAAAATCAGTTCTGTGCAGGGGCAGATGGACCATTTAGGCAATCGGGCAATGCCCAAGGATCTAGGGTCATTAGGGGGCCCATGAGATGCCCCTGGTCCTTTCATAGGCTTTTTTTGGGTGTGGTTTGAGTGTGAGCGAGGACACAGGGGCCCCATGATTTCCTATTGCCCGGGGGCCCCATGAGTTGTCAGTTTGCCCCTGGTTCTGTGCAGATATTAGCAAATGTAGTGTAACACCCTCCTAGGAAAGCTAGGGGGAGCTAGGTATTTTGTTTTTTAATAAGAGGCTGAATAGCGGCCTGGTGCAATAGTCAAAACCCCTAATAAAATCCAAAAAGACAATTTTAAGGACTGTTTACTGTCTCTAGAGTTCTATTCTGAAAGGAAATGTGTGTTGCCTGGCTGTGCAGGACTAAAGAGGGACCAAAAAATTCAGCAACTCCTATTGGGGTAGTGCTACAGCAGGTAGATTCACTTACTAACATATTTCTCAGTCCACCTGATGAAGAATCCTTTGCACCTGTATTCCTAGCTGTCCCTGCTGATGTTTTCAAAAGGAGTCTCATTCTTGTTTCTGAACTCTTTATTTATTTCCTCTATTTAATTCCTTTTGTAGAACCCTCCTAGATTGGTGCTAGGTTTAGGTAGATAAGATTTAGTATGTGTGTGTTCATCAGCTGCCAGCCTGAAAGCTCCCTCTACATCCAAAAGGCTTGAGAAGTTTCTGAATTATAAGTGTGGAGCTATGTAGATGGCAGCATGATGAAAGTTGATACAGCCCTGTCCTATCCTAGAAGGGCAGGTTCTATGCATGCTAAGAATACTGTATATATTCAGTGAGAACACTGAGCTCTGGGTCTTTCCTAGATAGGTTTGGTCATGCCTGGAAGGGGCATGCTGCCCTCCCAGGCAATGCTGCTGCATCTGCTGTCATAGGCCTCATGTGAGTGATTTAGGGACCTGAATGCTGAGACCTGGGTTCTGCTAAAGCTGACTGAGTGACCGTCTACTGAAGATCTTGTCTGGTATTACAGAGGAAGGTAACCAGCTGTCTTTGGGCCTTAGTGTGCACATACACCTCTAAAAGGATCTTTGAGACTTTGTGCTGCTAAAATCCCCCTGGTGCTAGGGAGTCAGCTGCAGGTCTAGTATAGGGAGCACCAAATGGTGTTCCAAAGAGCTTTGTCCATTTAATCCCCTACTCAAAAGGGACTCTACTTCTGCTGCCTTAAAGCTGATGTCCACTGTTTGTTGCAAGCACAGACTTTGTTATAGCTTATCCTGAAGATCATCTAAGTCATCAGGTATACATTGGTTTTGGAGTATCCCATTTAATTTCCTCAACCCTATCCAAATTCTCCAAAAATAAAAACAACAAAAATTATTCCCTAGACTGGTCATTGAAGAAATGTGTGAATGAGCCTATGTGCCTGGCTGCGGGACAATGCTTTAGGGGAAGACCTGAAAAATATTCCTGCAGCTCCTATGGGATTAGCACTATCTTTTTATTGTATCTGAAATGATAGCAGCACAGGGCAGAGCTAAAAAAAACTCATATAGGAAGATTATGGTTCAGAAGTCCCTATACAGTAAATATAGCAAGTTGGTAGATAGTTCACTCTGGCAGTGCTGATCAGCTACCAACTTCCTTTTCAAGGACTTGTCTATGAAAATGTTATGACTAGAAATATCTGTCATACAGCGATCTCATAGTGTAGGCAGAAAGAAGAAACGTTAAAATCTCTGTCATGTGTGCATTGCTTTTAGGTCCCCATTAAGTCCCTCGCCCTTTTTTCTGAAAACTATCAAGTAGACAGGAAATAAGAGAAAAGCTCCCTAACAGGACAGAGACAACAACAAAAAACTAATTTTCGATTCTTACCTTTCTCCACTCCACCCAAAACTAAAAATAATTTGTGTTGCTGGAGATGGGGTTATATTTTAATTCTTGACTAGAATATTGTTAAAGTGATTGTAAAAGTTCAAATGTTTTTTGGGTTCCCCGGGCCCCTCCCTGCTGCTGAGTGACCCTAGAACAAGCCGTTGCTCTGGGGGCACTCGTACGTGCTCGTTCACAAGCAGGTCCTGTATGTCCATAAGCCACACACCCCCCACTCCCTCCTCGCTAGCTGTGATTGACAACAGGTACCTGCTGCTGTGTATGAGCCAATGAGGAGGAAGAGACCTGGGTGAGCCGATGCTCTTGTGCACATCACTGGCACGAGATCAAGCTCAGGTAAGTATTGGGGGAGCTAAGGGGGAAGATGCACACTGAAGGTTTTTTACCTTCAGGTAAAAAACCTCCAGCCTTTAGAACCACTTTAAAACCGCCTCCCGCCCGCCATATAGTACAATGACGGGCGCAAGGCGGTTCTCTCGTTCTGGGATGATGTCATATGACATCGTCCCATTCTAACCGCGCATGCGCGGCTCCGGGAGCGTGCAGCGTGGTGATCGGCAGTGGGCTGTGTACCTCGGACACAGCGGATCACTGATCAACGGAAAGAGCAGAAGATGTGGGCTCGGTCATGTGAACAGCTGTGTCCAATCACAGCTGATCACATGTAAACAGGGAAATGCTGGTTATCGGCATTTCTCTCTCCTCACGAGCTGTAATGCTAACAGCTCGAGAGGCGATGAGAGCCGGTAATCGGCATTCCTCGGAGGGGACATATATACTGATCATCAGAGCACTGATAATCAGTGTGCCCTGATAATCTGTGTAGCCCCAGCAGTGCCACCTCTCAGCATCCATCAGTGCCAGCTGTCAGTGCTCACCCATGCCACCTGCCAGTGCCCATCAGTGCCACATTTCAGTGCCTACCAGTGCACATCAATGCCACATATCAGTGCCCATCTGAGCTGCCTTTCAGTGTCACCCATCAGTACCAGTCAGTGCCACCTAGCAATGCCAGTCAGTGCCACCTATCAGTGCTGCCAATCAGTGCCACCTACCAGTGCCAGTCAGTGCCACCTGTCAGTGCCACCTATCAGTGTGCATCAGTGCTGCCTGTCAGTGCCCGTCAGTGCTGCCTATCAGTGCCACCTAACAGTGCCAGTCAGTGCCACCTAACAGTGCCAATCAGTGCTGCCTATCAGTGCCAGTCAGTGCCGCCTATCAGTGCAGCCTATCAGTGCCATATATGAGTGCTGCCTTTCAGTACCCATCAGTGATGCCTGTCAATGCTCATCAGTGCCACCTACCAGTGCCTCATCAGTGCTCATCAGTGTCACCTATCAGTGTCCATCAGTGCAGCCTATCAGTGCCCATCACTACAGCCTCATTAGCGCACATCAGTGAAGGAGAAAAAGCACTTATTTACAAAATTTTATAACAAACACTAAGAAATAACGGGTTTTTTTCAAACTTTTCAGTGGTTTTTGGTTTGTTTAAGAAAAAATAAAAAACCCAGAGGTGATTAAATACCATGAAAATAAAGCTCTGTCACAAAAAAATGCTAAAAAATTTCATATGGGTACAGTGTTGCATGACAGCGCAATTGTCATTCAAAGTGTGACAGCGCTGAAAGCTGGAAATTGGCCTATGCAGGAAGGGGGTATAAGTGCCCTGTAGGCTAGTGGTTAAATGACTACTGATAATATGGATGACATATGTTTATACACTCTTTACAAGCAGTGAGCATTGCTTATAATATGAAACTTAGGTTCACTTAAGTTGTGCAGAGCACATGGACCCATAGATCCAGGTCTGAACAGAAGTGCAAATAACAAATGCAAAGAAATACACATATACAGAGAAATATGCCTAGAACTTTTCTTGCTGCCCATGGAACAGCTGCCCATATTGTATAATCTATCTTACATTTATGGAAAAAAGACAAAGGGACAAAGAAATGCACAAGACTTTCCACTTTTACAGACAGCTCCCTTTTAGAATATAAACACAAACCATTCTCTTGGTTTTTTTTTTAATATTTGCTTCATATCAGAAATTCATGGAAATGACACAGCTCGCTGGCTGTCCTGTTTATTCCCTTCCCTTTTAGACTACAATATTTGCATTGCACACTCTTTAAATATGCTGGTATTACTTTGTGCCTCTTACTCACAGGATATTGTACGGCTGATCTGCTGCTTCATTTTTTCATTTTTATGAGAGATACTCAAACAGCGTTAGGCTTTTGTGTGTGTTTTTTTTTTTACCAGGCAACCATCAACCTGCACACATCTCAAAAAACTGATCCCTATTTAAAGGGTCAGTCCACCTACAACTATGGTTACAAAGCAAAGCTATGGTTACAATGCTCTTCAGCCCACCCACTTACTGACTTCTTGTATCTTCTTCTACAGCAGAGTAAAGGAGTAAAGCTGGCCATAAATGGATTGAAATTTGGACCGTTTGGCATGGACCAACTGAATATCAATCTATCTATGATTTATCTTGTTTGAGAGCAGTTGATCTACTGAACAAATAGGCTTGCTGGAAAACTTTAGTTCAGCCAGAGCTGCACGTGTCAGAGTACAAAGATACAGTGGGGAAAATTCCCCTCAGTTGTGTGGATAGGAAAATTGGTTGTTTTCTTGCTCAGTTTTTTCAAACCTCAATGAAAAACTGAGGGTTGTATGGCCAGCTTAAAACTTTATTACAGAAGAAGGATGTCTTGTTGCTGATGTCCCCTGGAGGCAAAGGAAGCTAATAGCTGATTTAGTTCCCCATTATTAATCCATAACTAAAATATTGAGTATGGGTGGAGTGACCCATCAAGTGGAATCTATGATTTCTCCACAAAGATTCTCATTTAGCAAGGTCATTGTAGAGAGATCAGCTTTTTTCAGCAAGGGTTCTATGAAACCCCAGGGTTCCTCTACAGGTTTCTAGGGGTTCATTAAGAAATGAGCAACTTCTGCTTCTCTGATGAGTAACCAATGACAACAATAATGTTTTTATCTATCTGTAGGGGGGGATTCTTCCCAAGCACCACAATTGTAAGGAGCATTCTTCCTAGTAACAATTACAGCAATTATTACCAGGAGTTCCATGGGCTTGGATAGTTATTTTAAGGGTTCCAACACATTTAAAAAGGTTAAGAAAGGTTGGTATGGATAGTAGGAATTTGTCACCGTGACACCATGGGTTTGGATGATATAACTTGGCAGATCCTCTCCAAGTCATTAAGGTTTGGTGGCTGACGTTTGGCAACTCGAACTTTCAGCTCCTTCCACAGATTTCCAGTCGGATTAAGCTCTGGAGACTGGCTAGGCCACTCCAGGACCTTAAAGTGCTTCTTCTTGAGCCACTCCTTTCTTGCCTTGGCCATGTGTTTTGGGTCATTATCATGCTGAAACACCCATCCACGACCCATTTTCCATGCCCTGGCTGAGGGAAGAAGGTTCTCACCCAAGAGTTGACAGTATATTGCCCTGTCCATTGTCCCTTTGATGTGATGCAGTTGTCCTGTCCCCTTAGCAGAAAAACAGCCCCAAAGCAGAATATTTCCAACACCATGTTTGACAGTTGGGATGGTGTCCTTGGGGTCATAGGCAGCATTCCTCCTCCTCCAAACACGGCGAGTTGAGTTGATGCAAAAGAGCTCAATATTGGTCTCATCTGACCACAACTTTTTCAACCAGTCCTCCTCTGCATCATTCAGATGTTCAGTGGCAAACTTCAGATAGGCCTGGACATGGGCTTTCTTGAGCAGAGAGACCTTGTGGGTACTGCAGGATTTCAATCCTTGTCCGTGTAGTGTGTTACCAATTGTTTTCTTGTTGACTGCGGGCACAGCTGCCTAGAGATCATTGACAACATCCTCATGTGTAGTTCTAGGATGAGTTCTCACGATCATTGACACTCCACGAGTCCTGCATAGTGCACCAAACCTAGGGAGACAGAAAGTTGTTTTGTGTTTCTTCCATTTGCAAATGATTGCACCAACTGTTGTCACCTTCTCACCAAACTGCTTGGCAATAGTTTTGGAGCCCAGTCCAGCCTTGTGTAGGTCAATCTTGTCCCTGACATCCTTGGATAGCTCTTTGGTCTTTGCCATGGTGGAGAGTTTGGAATCTGATTGTTTGATTGCTCCTGTGGCCAGGTGTCTTTTATACAGGTAACAAAATGAGATTAGCAGCACTCCCTTTAAGAGACTGCTTCTAATCTCAGCTTGTTACCTGTATGAAAGACACCTGGTAGCCAGAAATCCTGCTGAATGATAGGGGATCAAATACGTATTTCCCTCATGAACATGCAAATCAGTGCATCATTTGTTAGACATGCATTTCTTTTGAATTTTTTATTGCTATTCTGTCTCTCAGGATCAAATACTTATTTCTTTCACTGTATGTGAGAGACTGTATGTGAGAGACCCCGTTTACTAGACTGATGTCACTTAGGGATCACATGAGCCAGCATAAATACTTACACAGAATCTATTTGACCCCAGCTAGGTTGGCTAGAATATACAGTACAGGGATCTGCCAATTTAATTAATATATTCTAGGAGTGTTCAGTCATTCAGCAGTACTGGCAGGAGATAGCAGATTGTATTCAATTGGTTATGACCATTGCTATTATTCCCACTATCAATGTATGCCTCCTGAATTTGGTAGACTCTTTAGCCACCACATGAAACATTGACACCTTGCTTACATTATTATTCTTCTATGCTAGAAAACATATTATTCTCTCCTTGAAGAAGGCCTCCGCACCGACAGTGTCTAGCTGCAAAGCTGATAAATAAAGCTTTACCATTTTATACTGTAAGGCTACCCATGCCACTCGGGGTGTACCTCTCAAAGTTGACAAAGTTTGGGGAGGATGGATTAGTTCAGGATCCACAGTGTCTGATTGATGCCTACATAATTAGTGTTATACCTGGCCTAAATTAACTGTCAGCTAATTTGATTCATTTGACCACTGTTGACATATGTGTTTGTGGCTATTGTATCTGAATTGTCTTCCATTTGTACAACCCTCTACAGGTGCATAATTGCTCCCACTTTATGTTGGCACAAGTAACCCTACCACAGATCTCTAATGCCAGTTGTGAGGTTCCACGTGATATCCTATATGTGGACAATTGAAATATGCTGTAGTAGCTACTGGTGCTGTTGTTCAATCGTCTTGGTTGTTGTTACTTTCTGTATGGTCTGTTGTCATGTATGACATGTATGTTCTTAGATTTTGTATTGAAAAGGCAAGTAAAAAATAAAAAAAAAAATATACATGGCAGAATGTGTAAATAGGTTTAAAAGCAAACTTGTTATGGCTTACATTCTTTAAAATATACACTATATTGCCAGAAGTAATGGGATGCCTGCCTTTACAGGCACATGAACTTTAATGGCACCCCAGTCTTAGTCCCTAGGGTTCAATATTGAGTTGGCCCATCCTTTGCAGCTTCAACTCTTCTGGAAAGGCTGTCCACAAGGTTTAGGAGTGTGTCTATGGTAATGTTTGGCCATTCTTCCAGAAGCACATTTGTGAGGCTTTGTGCACTGGTGCGCAGTCATGTTGGAACAGAAGGGAGCCATCCCCAAACTCTTCCCACAAAGTTGGAAGCATGAAATTGGTCAAAATGTCTAGGTATGCTGACGTCTTAAGAGTTCCCTTGCTCTAGAGTCCAGTGCAATACACCACTGCTTCCAACTCTTTGCATTACACTTGGTGGTGTAAAGCTTGGATGCAACTGCTTGTCCATGGAAACCCATTCCATGAAGTTCTCTATGCACTCTTGTGCTAATCTGAAGGCCACATGAAGTTTAAAGGTCTTTAGCTATTGACTCTGCAGACAGCTGGCAACGTCTACACATGCGCTGACCCCGCTCTGTCATTTTATGTGGCCTACCACTTCGTAGCTGAGTTGCTGTTGTTCCCAGTTGCTTCCACTTTATTATAATACCACTAACAGTTGACCGTGGAATATTTAGTAGTAAGGAAATTTCACGGATGGACTTATAGCACGGGTGGCAACCTTTCACGGTACCATGCTTGAATTCACTGAGCTCCTGAGAGTGACCCATTCTTTCACAAATGTTTGTAGAAGCAGTCTGCATGCCTAGGTGCTTGATTTTATACACCTGTGGCCATGGAGGTGACTGGAACACCTGAATCTAATGTGTCCGAATAAATTTGGCATTATACAGTAGTGCTGCAGTGGTTTTAACCCTTCTCTGCTCTAAAAATACAGTTAGATGTGTATAGCACCTTCATTTAATCAATGTAACTGGCACATATAACTCACAGCTCTTACTATGGTTTTCCAGGGAGAAGAAACAAATGCAGCAGGAGGACAAAGCTGCTAAACAATAACAGCTGCTTCCTCTGCCTGCTTTCTCATGATCTCCTGATCGCTGTAGACAATGAGGTGTTGAAAAAAAATGATTCTGTTTGGGATAAATACATCAGCTAAACAATAATGGCTACCACCTCTCATTTCTTTGCTATTATTCTTTCATACTGCACACAAGAAGTTGGTACTACAGCATCAAGGCCACGCAGTTCTGTCTCTTGGGTGAAACCAGCTCACCTTCTGCTGCAGTGGATGTGTGCATACTATCCATAGCAGGTATTCGTGGTTTAGCATCAGGTGGCTGTTTTCATATAGTCACACAATTTAGCACTTCAGGAATATGTCTATTCAGTTGTTTCACTCTGCAACTTAAGTAATTTAATAACAAGTCTTATTAAGTGCAATTCTAGTTACTGCAGCAAGTACTATCCATTGTACTATAACAATACCAAGCTTTTATACAATTCTCTGCCTTGCTGTGTGTTTATATCCAGCCGTTAGTGCTATTCACAGTGATAAGGAGTGTGGGCTCTAAGCTCAATGACTTCTCTTTAAAGAACTAGTCACCAGTACATTCCTGTGGCAGTAATAAAAAGGCTTAGAACAGAAAGGTACATGTTTATTTACTTAGAACACAGTAGTGACATTCTAACCCCTCCCAATGAGCAAGGGCACTGTCCATTGATCAGAAGACCACAAGCTGTTTTTGTTTCTTGATCGCTATGCTGCAGCACACTGCATTAATAGATAATTCAACACAGTTACTGAAAAATCAAAGTACAATTCAGTTTTCCAACACACTGGGGAGAATTTACAATGACAAGTGCAATGCTGCTAAAGCAACTTATCTAGAGCAAAACTGACTGCTACATATTTATCAGTGGATTTTCAATGGGATTGCCTGTTCATCCCTTTAATTACTGGCATATATGAATGACCCAGGTTTTGTGGTTGATTAATTGAAAGCAAAACAATTGCTTATTATACAATATATAACAGTGGAACCTGTATATCTTAGAGGTGTTAAAAATTAAAGTGACACCATCATGGGAAAAGTATGGGGTCTGTTTGCTGATCCTCTTTTGAACATGCTAGTTACCTGACTTTGAACAAGCATGTATAGATGGGTGTCAGAAACATGACAGAATTCCAGTAAAGGTAAAATATGGGCAAAACAAACAGGGATATTACATTCTCCAAGGAAACGTCAGCAATGACATCCTCATACTTTTGTCGTGATAGAGGCTGCAGTCAGGTAAGTGCTGCACTGGCACATACATGCATGGCAGTTTTACACAAATGCAATAGTGACACGTCTGGGAAGAAGAACCATATGTATATGAACTTGTAATACCAAAATTGCTAGAGCATATTACAGTTTACACTCTAAATTACATTTTACACTCTAAATATGGGTGTAACGTTTAACATGCTCCAAAACGTGAACTTAGCCTTTAAAAGGTTAGTTCACCTTTACCAAAAACTTACTACAAAGATAAGAAGCCTCTGCAGATAAAAACAAACTATGTAGGTCTGATTAAAGTTGGATAATGGCCTTGCTATAGGTGTAGACCATTTACATACCTCCTGAAGCCTGACTGGATTGTTCCCAGGACATTGCTAGGACGTTGCTAAGTGAGGCCTAGCCATTACTGTTCACCTCTTCCATCAAGCTCTCAAATGTTGAACTCAGAGCTACTGAATCAGGGGAGAGAAAGTGCATGTAAGGTGGTTTGAAAAAATCTCACTCTGAGGGTATAGGTGAGTGGTAATGACTAGGCCTCACTAGCAACATCCTAGCACCATCCTGGGAGTATTCCAAGAGCATTGTTCAACTTTAGTCAGAGGTACACCGTTTGTTTTTATCTACAGACACCCCTCAGCTGCATAGGCAGTTTTCTGTAAAGATGAACTAATCATTTAAACTGAGCTTGCTAAATCAATCAATTAATCAATCACTCAATCAGCAGGTATATTCATTTCAAGTTCAAATGCAACATTTCCCAATTAGGTCTAATGCAGGCCATACATGGGCTGGACTAATTTTCTTTAGAAAATTGGAAATTTTGTGCATTTTGTAATCCGATGGTGTCGCCATCAATTTTGAAATTGGACCAATCAAGCGTTTAATTTCACGTCATGTTGCTACAGAAAAGAATTTTCATGGCCAAGAATTTTCTTTTCTTTCCAGATCACAGCTCATGCTCATTTCCTTTTCAGTTACATTTTTTACACGATTCTTCAGTCATTGATTAGAAATATGTTTTTTAAAAATTTTCTAACATGCCCGATCACTCAAATTTGAAAATTGTCCATTGCTGTGGTCCACTAATGGTGTGAAATTTGAACTAAAATTCTTAGAGAAGTTTTCAAAAGAAAATTCTTTTGGAATTCGACTCATGTATGGCCAGCTTAAGTGTACCTTTAACTACTGCTGCTTCCAGGCTGATCACAAGAAAAAAAAACACAACATTTATTTCTAAAATATAAAAAAAAAAAAGCAGTGTCTACTTAGCTGTACCTATGCTTCCACTATAGGTCCTGGTATTACAAGAGGGCAGTAGGTTCTGCAGTGCACTCAGAATTTGTGTTTAAAGGAGAACTCCATTCTAAACACAACACTCACTTATAAATAAAGGTTTTATACAATAGTAATTTTCACCAGTCTAAAAAACACCAGACTGAATGTGACCTGCAACCAGGGGCGGACTGACAACTCATGGGGCCCCCGGGCAATAGGGGATCATGAGGCCCCTGTGTCCTTCTCCAAACTCAAAAAAACCTATGAAAAAGGTACCAGGGGCATCTCATGGGGCCCCCTACTGACCCTGGGCCCTCGGGCAGTGCCCGAGTTTCCAAATGGTCAGTCCGCCCCTGCCTGCAACACACAGGTGTACTGACAATGCTGGATTCCATGGAGATGTGATGACGCATAAAAGCATTCAGTTGTCTGCCATGGACAAACAATTCTGTGCTATATTTCCATAGATTTACTGAGATCTGGTTTAGACCCATGCTGGAAGATATTTGACATGTGTTCTTAGTTCCCACCTCAGCTGGCACATATGACTTAGTATATTGCAGGCCCCTTTTCATTATAATAGGTGTAAGCAGGGTCAATAGTATCTCCGTGGAACACAGCTATAGAAATTTCTGTTTCCTTTAATAGAAAAATGTAAAATTGTTTCTTAATTTTGAAATATAAGTCTGGAAAACAAACCTGGTCTAAACTAAGCACCTGTCTGTAAAGTGAAAATCTATGAACTCATCTGTGAATTTTGTTTTTGGAATTGCGATTTAAAAGAATCATTGACGTTCCACTTAGCTTGGCACCAGCAGCAGAAAAAGAAGCTTTTCTACATATTTACAGAATGACATCACTTTACAAATATAATCTTTAGCATAGTCCCCATGTTTCAATATGCAATTGTACAGTAAAGCTTTAGAATAATCCCTCACAATAAGATGTTTTCTACATAAAGAATAAAAGAGAAAACAAAGCAATATCTATTATTATGCAAATGATAACAGTTATGGGGAATATGGGCCCAGCTAAATAAACCTTAGAAAGTTTTCAAGAAGTTGAATTCTTCCCATCAGCATAGAAAGAGTCTCCTGGGAACTCATTCGAAGGCTAAAACAGTAGAGAAAAGGCAAAGAGAGAAAGAGACGGAGGCACTCCAATTAAAAATTAAGTCTCCCCATGCATAATTAATACAGCAATAAGAGAGTTTGAGCAAATGGAAGCAAACTTCCGAACCGCAGTACGAAGTTGAAATATAAAGGAAGGAGATCAGAGAGACGCTAAGGACAAGGCAAAACTTTTTGGACAACCACTAAGATCATGGTTACCAAAACTGCTATTTTGTTAAAACATTTCATAGTGGTCTGAGTTCTGCAGGGGATGGGAATTAAATAAATCCAATAGAAGATATCAGGCTTCTGAAAGTATACTGAAGCAAATTAAGCCAATTAAATACACATCAAAATAATTAAGTAAGAATCTCTTCGACTTGAAAGTTTGACTTCACCTTACTAATAGATTTGATATACTAAGAGAGATCAGGGCAACACAGTGAAATAATACAAATAAAGAATAGTATTACTTACTTCTTTTGTATTTGAAAGCATTACTAAAGGCAAAATGTATTTTATTAAAATAATAAACATGCTATACTCACCTGCTCTGTGCAATGCTATTGGGGAGCTGATACTGGAAGTTTTTTAACTTTGAAGCATAAAATGCATTAAGGTGAAAAAAAAACTTTTAGGCCTTTAGAACCACTTTACTAGCAAAGACATTTATGTTCAATAGACTATTCTGCCACCATGATAAAATTTGCGTATATAAGAACACTTGCAAAAAATATATTATCCTTCAAATACAACATTCGTTTAACTTTGGTTCCCTCTATCCTGCTGAGTTTTTAACTTTGAAATACTTCACCACAGGTTTGGTTTAAAGTGACCATGTCATTGCTGATGAGCATGTCTACTATACCTAGTGATGTCTACATACTGTATACCTACAGCAGTATTCAGTGTCTTAGCTATACCATAATGTTTAACTGTTGTTCAAAGCTTTGACACTTCTTGGTAGTGTTGGAGCTTGCCTGATCCCTTCCATCCACCAACACTATGATGGCCTGCTCTTCTGACTAGCCCTTTTAGGACTATAAGATTACGGAATGCCAAAAGAATAATTTTTTTGTTTTTTAAAGTTCGTACACTTCAGTTGCTGTAACTAAGCCATTTCATGAAATAATTGCCAAAAAGCTAGATCCATTTGTTGATAAGAACTAATATTTTGACTCAAACCAAAAAAAAAAAAAGTATTTTAAGTTCTTAATCAGATGATACAGGCAATTAAAAACATGGGACAAATACGTCCCTTGGTCCTCAAAGGGTTAAGGATGGGCTTGCTGTTTGAGTCAAACATAAGCTGAACACACAAATGGTAAGGGAGTTCGGTGGGCTGTTCGCCCACTAAGCGCCGCACAATGCACTGTGCTCTCAGAGTGCATTGAGAGAGCTATGATTGGCCATAGCAATGTACCTGATCACAGTTCAGGTGCAATGCTTTGGCCAGTCACAGCACAATTGGGCAAAGCTAGCAGTGACGTAGGTGGTGATGTCACTTTAGGTTCATTAGGTTCAAATGTTCGACCACGAACCGAACACAGGGGTGTCCGGCCCATCACTACTTCTGACTAACAAGATTGTGTGGGAGACAGCAGGAGCCAGACAAGTCTGAACACTACTAGGAAGTGACAAAGCTTGACCAATCGGAACAACATGGAATTTAGCCAATGTTGCAACTAGAAGGCAGTGAAAGACCAGTGTCAAAGTTTTTAATTCTCTTTAGAAATTCTCCGCAACAAATACAAGTTTATTTCCTAATTCATCTATCTTTTTGGGTTTTGCGTGTTGTTGGCTGCGTTTTGGTGCATATTTTTGCAGTTCGGTGGTGCATAAGAGTGCCGATAATGGTTCCATAAGTGCGACATGTCTTTTTCACATGATTAGAGAATGCAAACAAACTTGCAAAATTTTGTGCACTTTCACGCATTACACTAGTGTGAGTTGGAGCTAAGGGAATGCAGAGTCAGCTAAAGCATGTCAAATGCAGGGCCATTAAACCTCCAATGAATTCTGCATCTCAAAAACACATCAAACTTATGTCAAAAGCAAAATAGGCAGTTCAGCTAATGATTTATCTTGGAATGCCTAAGAGATGACGTCACTCATAGATTTACTATTCGGCATCTGTTATCGGCTGCCCCTCCACTACATATCGGCTATTGGCAATGGCTGCCCCTCCACTAATCTGTCACTGACAGATGATCCTGGGACTGGCCAATCCAGAGCGGCTTCAGAATAGGTAAGTATAGGCATCTTTTCTTTACAGGGCTAGGTAGAATAGGCTTAGAATGGGGGTGGGAGTAGGTTTAGCCTTAGTTAATGACTGGAATTCCACCCTAAATTAGTAACTCTTACACAATTGTGCACTATAACAGAAGATCAAAAAAGAGAAGGGCAAACACCATCAGCAGCATTGTATTAAAAGGATGCTATATTATTTCAAAAATTAAAAATATGAACTTAGAAACATCAATACCTTAGGAGGTTTGGGCTCCCCTAGCTACAGGCAGCAAGAAGCTCATCTGGTGCAGAATGGATGAACACCTTGAGCATCCACAGCTCAGAACGATGATAACACACCTGGCTCCATCTACTTCACAGGGTACAGAATGTGTTTCAAGGAGAGTGTCTCCTTATCAATGGCTGGAGCCAATGACTGTCTGCCCCAACAGACAGCACAAACAAAGATATTATCATATTACCAAAATTAGGGGAAAAGACAGTATCTCTGTAAAGGACAGTATCTCTGTAAAGGACACCACCCCCATACTCACCTTACCTGTGTTCCCTCACAGCTCGGTAGCTCCCTCTACAGTGAGAATACCTGTCACTTCCAGGATCGGGGGGGAACATATGACTTGCTGCCCTGTGACAGTGCTTGGATTTAGCAGCCCATCGCTAGATCCAAGCACTCTTAGGGCTCGTTCACACTAGGCTGTTTTGCCAACGCTTGCCAAACGCCCCTATAGCGTTTGGCAAGCGTTGGTCCGGCGTTTGCGGAGCGTTATTAACGCTCCGCAAACGCCGCATGCGCGGTTTAGCGGCGGTTGCTAGGCGTTTGCCGAGCGTTAATAATACCGCCCCACAAACGCCTATAATGCAGTATGAGTGGTGTTACCGCTCCGCAAACGCCCCGCAACCGCGTCGCAACCGCACCGCAAATGCCGGCCGGGCGTTTGCGGAGCGGCACCATAGACGAGAATAGAAGGCTTCAAAGCCTCCTGACTCGTCCAGAGGCGTCCGTTTTGCCGCGACGCGACGCAAACACTCCCGTTAGAACAGCACCATGTGCTGTAATGTGCAGAATTGGCAGAGGCGTTTGGGAAGCGGTAAAAAAACGCTTACCAAACGCCTCTCTGCCGCCTGCACACAAGGCTAGTGTGAACGTAGCCTTACATGACTAAGAAAGTAATGTCACTGCTCTCCAGGGCCTCCAACACAGCTGCGGAGGAGAAAGGAGCTACAAGGGAGTGCAGGTAAGGTGGGTAAATGGAGGTCAAGAAATGCCCTCCCCAGAGACATTGTCACTTTCCTTGCATGAACAAGGTGACCATGTCCCTTCAAAGCTCATCTGCACTTTTAAATATAACATTTAAAAAAAACGTGTTAAGAATGACTCATCTTCACCCTGGACTGTTCCCTACAGAAAGTCTGCTCATCCACAAGATGGCACACCTCTTCTGGGTTGAATGATACCTAACATCATTCAACCCACTGTTTGTGAACCCAAGCCCTCATGAACACACTCTCTGGTGATGCATCATTATGACAGTCAGGGCTCACAGTACTGTTGTACAGAATGTCGCTCACACTTCATCTTCTGTTGCTACAAAAGGCATTATTATTATTATTATTATTATTATATTATTATACAGTATTTATATAGCGCTAAAAGGTTTGCTCAGTGCTGTACATTATAGTGGGGGGACAGAACATGAGACAATACAGTAACAAAACATGAGGGGTTCAAGGGCCCTGCTCTTTCGAGCTTACAATCTTGGAGGGAGGGGATAGTGGTATAGGAGGAAGTGGCTGTGGGGGATGGAGTGGTAGGAGGAGTGGAGGAGATCGGCTGTTAGGTGAGGGCGGGGTAGGCTTCCCTGAAGGGATGGGTTTTCAGGGTGTGCCTAAAGGTGAGGAGACAGTCTGATGGATTGGGGTAGTGAGTTCCAGAGGTTGAGGGAAGTCCTGGAGAAGTCCTGCAGTCGGGCATGGGAGGTGGAGACCAGGGAGCTAG